CAATATTGTTGAGTTGTGCTCCTGGGACGACTTTACTTATAAGATAGTTCATTCGATTATATGAAATCAACTTTAACTTGAGAATATCCGTCAGAAAAAAGTCATAGCATATTCGCTCCGTGCGTGACCATGGTAGGGGTACATTGAAACGATGCCAGCGTGCGTTGCGGCGAAATATGACAAAATTGGAATATTGGACAAAATATTTTTAAGCATAAATTTTATCAAAAATGTGTACAAATACATGTTGCGCATTTAATTGTGCTAATAATAGCAAAAACAGTGAGTGTAGTTTTTATAGGTTCCCAAAGATTACATATAAATTAGAGAAAAGAAAAAGATGAATTCGTGCTATTAATATGGAAAAGTAAATATTACATAATTTCATTTTTATGCAATTGAAATAGGAAAAATTTAAATAATTTACCTTGAATGATATTTCATAAGGCTTCAAGCTAACTGCAGATGACTTTAGCTTTTATATCATAACTTTTACTATTATTGTTTTTAATTATATGCTCTTTCGCGTGAAAAACTTGATTTGCCAGTACTAGATTTTTCCCTTTCTTTTCCGTTTGGAGTTGAAAAGATATATTATGATGACTTTTGAGACACCCAGTTTTTAATACTACATTTATTTTGTACATAAACTGAAAAAATATAGTTAAAAAACTAATTTATTAATAATTGTAAATTTCGCATGTATAGAACAATGTCAAACATATGTCATATGTTTAACCTGAAAATTGGGAGGTCCAAAATTGTCAGATGAAGGCAGTAGGTGTCGCCTCAGTCACGCACGGAGCGATTAATTCGTCTCTTAAAAGACAAACACATGACATGATGACAGTAAATATGAGGGAAAAACCAGGAAAAAAACCTCATAATACTATCCCGACATGGTAACTATTTGTTCGTGCATTTAGTTTACCTTCAATAAACACGAAAATTCTGATTTTATATGTTTCGTTATTTAAAAAACATAAATGATGTCTCCTCTATATGTTACTGACTTACTAATACTGGTATTTTCTTATTAATAACTTCCTCTTTCAATATTGGTAACCAGATCCTACTACATTCTGCCGAGGAATTTGCGACACAATTGGCCTCATTTAGCATAATTAAAGCCGCTTCTTTGATTTTTTTTTTTTACCATCCGTCTCTTTTAGAACTACATTTGAATTATTCCATTAAAGCCTATGTTCATTATCCCATGCGTGTTTACATATTTGAGATCTATCAAATTCTCTATTTTTAATATAAGATTAATATTCACTTTAATTGTGGCTTATTCCCATTAAAATAGTAATTAGATCTTATTTCTGTCGTTGGTCCGATTGGTGTTTTTATTCTTTTTATTTCTTTTAATGACTGCTCGGATGTAATTGTGAACACTATTTCATCCCTTCGTACTTCCTGTCATCTTCACGATCAGCTCTCTTACAGTCACAGATTCGTACCTATTTATTTATACATTCTGTTTTTCTCCACTAAACATCTATTACACTCCTGCATTGTGTGAGTAACAATGTGAAAATATTCACAGTATAGGCATTTATTTGTATCTGTCTTTTGAACCTATGCAGATACGCCCTAAAACAATCTACCCGGCCCCTTACTCTCGGCATCAGCATCTTGGTCCACGGAGTAACATCTTCCTTGTTATTCCACTCTTTTGCCATATTTCCATTGATATTTCCCTTTCTTCTTTTTTTTATAGCTATTGTCAAATGCTTTCTTGTCTCATAGAGATATCTCTTTTCTACTGCTAACACATGCAGAGGAACATAACGCAGATACAGTCCTGTTGGTGCATGGTACTCGCAACAGATTCGTTCTGTCTACTTTTGTCATGGGCCTAATAATAGGTATCTATATTTAAATATAATGAAAAATATTATTAATTATTGTGCATTGTGCATTTGTATCAATTATTGTATTCAACATATTATATTTTACTACTATTCTTTATATATTTTTTACTTTATATGCCCTGGAGGGGGGGGGGGTTAACTCCCAAACAACCCCTTAAATGCGCCACAGATACTATTGTATACGCCTCTAGTATATTAAAGATCGAAGAGTGTGACATATAATAGAAATTTCTTTCAAGAAATTGTGTGGGGAAATTGTCAAGTCTAAGTACATTAAATCTACATTAATGTTATTTCCCATATCGGTCCAATTCAGATGCATAATTAATTCTCGACCGTGGTACTTAACTTATTTTTTTGTTTTATTTATCACATATTAATTAACATAACATATACTAAACATGTTTATTTATATTAGTTGTAAATCTTGTTAATTAAATATAATTACATTATCTGTCTGCACATTTTGAAATTAACATTTTAAGGTTTAAGTTGACAAACATTAGCTATTGGTACATTACAGCTTTTGTCTATTTTGTAACAATCTTGTTATAATATTTGTACACATCTTGCTTTCAGAAATCACTTTAAATTTAGAAGATATGAGAACTTCTTTCTACTGGCTTTTTTTTATGAATCTTGCCCTATATTAATAAATGTAGTAACTTATGCCAAATGTTCTGCCCATTTCAGATGAATTTATTTGATTGTAGTAGTACTGTCTTTTCCAAGGAACTAGTACTTGTATATGTTAAGTGGCTGTATATCTATGTACCGTTTCTACAAACCGCTACGAAATTTTTGCGTAGTATATTATTTTCAAAGATACATACATATATGAGGTACGATCCATATGTAAGTACCGGGATTATTAGCTGCGTGAACACTCATAATTTTGGGTTTTTTAAAATTAAATGTTTGTTTGTTAGGTATTTTGGCAGATCATACTAGAACATAATATGTAAATATAGGTATAAATTGTATTCTAGCAGTCCAGTGCCTCTTTCTTTTCTTATCATTAAATATTATCCTAAATACCTATCCTATCAAGGAGTAGTATTACGTTGACAATCTACATGTCTTTCAGCGACATTCCTCTTCTTCTTCAGCCTTCAGTAATCCAACTTTGGACATAGGTCTCGTCCAAATCAATCCAGTGTCTTCTATTTTGCGCCACTTGCTTCCAGTTGTGTCCTTATTACCAAATTGTTTATATCGACGCCACAATCGCCAAATCTCGCTCCGAGATTTATCAAAATGACGTGCAGCATCAGCTTGTGAAAGACCAGCCTGAATCATATTCACAGCACTTACCATTGCAACTCATTCTTCAGGGCAAGGTATTTGGAAAGAGAGGGCCAGGCAGAAGAAGAATATCTTGGCTGGAAAACCCGAGAAAGTGGTTTAATACATCGACAACCGGACTATTCAGAATAGCAGCAAGTAAGGTTAGGATAGCCATGTTGATCGCCAACATCCGGAACGGATAGGTACCGTACGAAGAAGAAGACCATTATAACATATTGACAAATGCAGATCAATGCTGACGCTGCATGACTATCTTTGCGTCTAGTATCTTAAGTAAATACAGAATATCCTTAAATTAGAAGCACTATTTATTTGCTACTATAAAGCAATTACTAATCGTACGAATTTGAGGCGCTGTCACTTTTCCCTAAATAAAACAGTCCAATTGGCACATTAATTTACATAACATAGCTTGATTTGCAGAGAACAAGTTTTCAAATCAAATAATGGTATGTATAAACAAAACAGTTTATATTGAAATTAGTGGAATAATAATGATGTTTCTTGGACATTTTTAATGTATGTACCTGGTATGTTATTCAAAGGGTACCAGTCTTATTTAACATTTTTTCATACGCACGACAAAGTCGTGCGTATCTATAGCTGATAGTTTCTGGTCTTTTCCACTATTTGCTTATGTGCCGAGGTTAATTGATATCAACTTTTTTATTTTGTTTTTTTTTTAATTTTAAATTTAAATTGTTTAATTTTTTATTGTTTAACTTAGTGATGATCCCATTTTTCTGTTTGGATATTTTCTATATATTCCAGGTACTTTCATATTAAACATTTTTTTTCTTTTTCATGAAGAGGGATCTAGAATCTTCAAAAGACATCTCAGTCCAGGACGCCGTCTGACTGACCTTAGTGCGAGATTAGTTTTTCGCACTCCCGGCGATAGTTCTTGAGGTACTTTAAAATGCCCTCTCGTTACCGAGTTTACGCCGAACGCCTATCTGCTAAACCAGACCTTTCTCTATCATCTAGCGATCCAGAAGTGGAATGGCCACTGTGAGGCCAGTATCACTTCTGAAGCATTACCTTCATTTATTAATTCTTAATTTATCCACATCCACACTCCATTTATCAGCAAGGAGGGTCCCTGTCTCGTTTCAGGTAGCGCGTAGAAGATCCTCATCGCTCGTAGTATGGCATCATTCCTAGAGGGGCATTTCACACTTCCCCACAGTCTTACTCACGCATTATAACTCATACAGTCTGACCCACTTTTCTAGCTTCAACTTCCAGTGTCCAGAGTATAGACACTTATCTGTGTCAGCCTTTCCAAACCTAGAGAGGTAGGTCCTAAAACACTTGTGTCCTGTGAGCACCTGCGCCAGGAAATAAACCAGTCGCCTGTGGCCACAGTCCACCCAATCTCTTATGTTCTGGATCAGCATTATCGTCCACTGTGCCACATCCTCCGTGTTGTTCCATTCTTCTTGCCATCTTTCAAATAACCTTACCCTTTCCTATCTTTTCTTGGCCACAGTAATGTGTGGGCCTCTTGTGTCATGGAGTTCTTTTCTTTCCACCGCGAAAACATGCAACGGAACGCATCCAGTGATGGTGCACAAGGATTAAACATTTACTTGACATCATTCGTCTTTGGTTTTTTGCCCTGATCCAAAACTATGTATCCATTGTTTTGACGGTTCTTTTGTGCAACTGTTGCCCAACTTTCCTAATTTGTCCTTAGTAATTTGTAAATCACCCAATTTAATCACAAACTAACCCCATGCAAAGTTTAAAATATATTTATACTTAGTGTTAAATGATCATAGAACAAATTTCTTATATTAGCAAATTGTGCAGGTGTCTTTGGGGCTCTGGTGGCGTCCACACTACTGATTTTATACATTTCAAGGATGGCCGTAGCTATAGACTCTGTTTGTGATTACTCACAATATTTAACAACAGGCAAATCTTACACTTTTAACAATTATGGTAGTCCAAACAGCTATCCGGCTGGAAGTGACTGCCGATGGTGGGTCCAAGGTGATGTAGATACTAGAGTTTACCTTACTTGCACAATAAATATTCCACAGGTAAGTACTATCATGTAATTTTATAATAATAGTATAATATACAGATCACGACATTGTTTTATTGACCATTCAACACAATGGCAATCGCTGTGACATGATACACGTTTCCACCTCTATATTCATTTCACAGTAGGTACGAATTGTCGTAATTGTTACATTTACATTAAAATTTCTGAAAGAATGAACAAATAATTAATAAAATACCTATTAGCCGACCAAGAAAAAGTGCAACTTGTAACAGGGTACTTTCAGGATCATTCGATACGCGAAGTAATTAATTTATTTGATGTTGCCTTCGAAAATAGACCCCCACCAAGTGTTACAATAGTTAAAAGTACCAGTAAACATTTTCAAACTTCGGGATGTGTAAACAGTTGTAAAAAATGTCATGAAGGTAATGAATCACGTGTTAGACCTGTCGATATGGAGCGTCAAAACAGGAATATTAATATTTGTGCTTTTGTGGAAGCTAGTGAATCAGGCAATAGTGTACAAATTGCTAGAAGTTAACGTGAATGCTCTAACTGTACAGAGAGTTCTCAAAAGGAATCACTGTTTTAAGATACAACCAACACAAGAACTGTTTCTGGAAGATAACTTAAGGCGGATGGAGTTTTGTGAATTTATGTTAGATAAACAGAATAAAAATGTACATTTTTAAAAAATATTTTATTTTCTGACAAATATTCATTTTCATCAACACAATTCATCCGTTGCAATATATCATTCTCGAAAAAATAAGCACCCCAGTATTGGAGTGCGAACACAGCATCCGCAAAAGTTAAATGTTTTATGTTAATTCCTGTTAATTTTCAGGAGGTTTATTTTCAACAGGATGGGTGTTTGACTCACAACTCTATAGCAACTATTCACTTCCTCAATTAAACGTCTCCTGATCGACTGATAAGTACGCGTGGTACAATTAAATGGCCTGCTAGATCCTGTGACCTAGCGCCTAACGATTTCTGTTCTTGGGTTTTTCTCAAAGAAAACATTTAGAGGCATCAGTTTGAAAGGACCACAAACCTAGTCGAATTAAGGGCAAAAATACTTCATTTCTTCTCCATAAGGTCTAATTACATTGTTGTGGCGCTTGTTTCCTGTTCTTCCATTAAAATCGCCTAATAAAAATATTTCTCGGTTATTTCCAACTCTATTAATAACTTAGTTTAATTTTACAAAGAATTGTCTTTTGTGGTTGCATTCTCATCCTCTGAGGGGGCATAGGTTTTTTTATGGTGTAGGGTCATATTTACTTGCAGCATATTTTCATCTATTGCAGTCCAGCTGGTAATTTTCCGTTTAAACTTTTTGTTAATAATTACGGATACTCCTCTCTTAGCTCTTTCTTCCTTTGGTATGCCGCTATACAGGTGTATGTAGTCTCCTATCATTACTGATCCAACGCCCTTATTCTTTGTTTCAGTGAGGGTCACTATGTTGAGGCCTAGTTGTTTTACTTCTTTAATGATCTATTCAGTTTTACCCCTTATTCCTTGTACATTCCATGTACCTATCATCATGGTCCTTTTTCGTAGCCGTTTTCGTCTTTGTTTAGATCCGTCTATATTTCCGAGGCTTGGTTTATGATTTTTAGCAGTAGTTTTTTTTTCTAGATATTAAGGAGCTAGCTCAATGATCCAACCCCCAACCTGGAGGGCCAGGAAATTTGGCTTAAGGTTGTCATCCTTTAGATTGAATGTCTTTCTGGACTTCCGAGATCAATCTTCCCCTCGATTTTATACAAGCCCTAAAACCATTGGGCTGCCACCTCCGCCTTCCAGACCGTTGTGAAGATCTTCTTCTCCGCCCTGGATGCCGTTGTGGACTTCATTCGTGACCCTGGACAAGGGACCCTGAGCAGGTACTAGTTTCCCAGGTTAGGAAACACCTGGAATCTGCGGAAGGCAGGGATTGATTTACTTTTCCTGATAGGACTATCCAAAAGAAGTTCCTACTGGCTACCTACTACTAACAATTACCAAAAACTAACAAAAAAAAGATTTTGAGGGCCAGGGGGCCTGGTTAATTATTTTTTAAACCGGCCCAAATTTGGTATAGGCATATATAAATACTAAGTTCAACTTTTTTTAACTATCCTTGTAGGGAAATTAAAAAAAATTGACAAAAAAAAAATATTTTAGTGGCCAGGGGGCTCTGTGAAACATTCTTTAAAACGGTTCAAATTTGGTATACGATTGTATAATTACTAAGGCGCAACTTTTGGCAAACTAGCCCTGTAGAAAAATAAAAAAAATTTTCGGCCCGGCCTAACGTAGGGCTCAACTGCTTGAGCACCAAGTCTCTGAACTGGGCGCAGCCCGTAGTGGAGGTTTGAGGCCTAAGCAAGCAATTTTAGTTTCGTGGATAAGTCACAAAATGATAACAGGAATAAAGTGCGTCACGCTGACCTAAATTTAAATCGGTTAGAGAATCATGTTGGAGTTCTATTACAAAGAATGCTCATATTTTGAGGTCTATAGAAAATGTCACACTGAGAGTGCAGTACCGGTAAGATACGGCAATGCTTTTATTATAGAGAATAAACGCGTAGGGTTGTCGGTTTTCTCCAGCTGTTGATTGCTCATTGTCTCACAGGACCGGCTTGGATAAAATGCATTTGCCGGCAGTACGAGTAAAATATTTTATATCATGTATACGTATACAGTAGAATAAAAAGGCATTGATGAGTTATTGACAACGAAAACTATGAATTTTGCATATATAACGTCAACATGAGATATACAATTGAATCATATTTATAAGAGTAACATTTGAACACCTCTTTACAAGAACAACATACAATAACTGTAGTTTTAATGTTTTATATAAAATAGAAAAAACCTACATAATTTCTAGGAAAGAATTTGGAAACTTGGAAATGATATTATTTATAGATATTATATATAATATACAAATTTCCAATTCTTTCATAGAAATTAGATTTTTCTATTGTATGTATTACACCTATTAAATTACATTTATTAAATCGACATTAAATACCTATTAATCTTCATATCTCTGCATAATCTACATATACTAATTCCCCAGTTTTATATTTCAACACCTGTTGGTCGGTTGGTCTTTAGTAATGCTATTACATATTAGTTTTATAGTTCCCCTCATTGGCTTGAGGTTTAACTGAACTACTTGAACTATACCCATTTACACACTGCTTTCAATTCTGATCTAATTTTAATATTTCAATTTCATAGTCAATTTTCTTCTCATTTTGCAATATTGACAGTGCCTGGTAGACCATTTTATTGTAGTCAACTACCCACTGTCCAATAGATCGTTTGGTCTATTTCTTTCATTCACACTTTATGTACACTTCATTTAGCCTCAAACCTACAACCTTATTATTACAGACGGGTGTGAGTGTGAGATCTGGATTATGCAATCTAGTTTAAATCAAAATATTCTAAATGTCATACGTCATCAACTGATTTTTCAGTAGTAGTTCTAGTTGGACCTTTGGCCAATGACATATTATACAGAATTTTAATATTTGCTGATCACAGATCCATAACTTTGACTGCCTATCAAAGTTGTCATATGTCATATGTCACCGTATCATTTCCGCTTAGATCATTATCCATCCAGATACTGACAGAGAATGTAGCGTAGAAGTAATTTTAAACTGTTTGTCCTCGTTTTAGTGTAGTGTTTTTGTATAATTTATGTTATTTTTAATGTTTCCACATTCTAACGCTTGCCGGATAGTTCTTATTTTGACGAAGTAAGTCTAAAACGTTAATCTCAAAAACCTTTTTTCATCCATTAACTTCGAGTTTTTTTATCGAAGTTAACTAATTTACTTCATCTAAAAAACGTTTTCTTGGCTTATTTCAGATGCCCCTGAAGATGCTATTTTAAGCGAAAGTACTTGGGCTAGATTTAATTAACTTGTCCTCGATAATAGCCTTATTTTCAAAGTTCACCTATTAATCTGTTAATATCTGTTCATTTAAAATCGATCGCAGGCGGATCATAAGAAATTTCTTGAGGGGTTATTCAGTAGCGTAAACGCTACAGTACGGTTCTGTGACTAACACTTGGACCTGTTTCTATCGCCAAGCACAAGGCGTGAAATCCGGCAATTGTGCATTCCTCTATTAGCCGTACTGCACTCTCGGTGTGACATTTTCTATAGAATCTATAACCCGTAGAAGTCTAGGTTGATCATCCTGTATATCTCACTCTCATATTTTATTTGGGTTAAGTTACTATGTTTACAATTTTTAGCCATTAAAAGTTGTTTACTCTGTATTTATGCAAAGTCCATACTGTTCCTACATTATTTTTGACTCGGTAACACAAATTAGTTTATTATCGGTTAAAATTTGAAACGCCATGTACGCATATAAATATAAATCACATTAGTACTTCAGTTAAAAATAATTTAATAATAATAATTTTAAATTAGGTTTGATAAATTCATAGATAACATTAGCATATTTAAATTTATAAAACATCTACATTTAAAATTTTATGCACACAAATACAATATCTAAATTATTGAAACAACCAAAGTAAAACCGGAAAACTTAAAATCTACAAAATAAAAACATGACTTCATATTTTTGTAATATTTTGAGAACGTTAATAGTAATTTACGTAACAAGTTTCAAAAATAATATTTTAAAGGATGAGTAAAAAATTTTCAGGACGAACCGAAGGCAAGCCATGAGTACTTGCTGTACCAATTATCTGAAAATGATCTATTACTTCCCTTACCCGCACTAATATTTATAAGCCGGGACATTTTAGGCAAAGGACGCCCCTTATTTTTAATAACAATTTGTTCTTCGTATGGAATAGATGAAAACCCAAATTTACAAAATATATAATATACAAATGCAAATTTGCAAATATATTATGCAAAAAATAATTTACAATATCAGACTTATCAATACTTACAGTTTCTCCTATGGCTTGCATTTTTTAGGTTAATTTACCTGAATTTGTTTACACTTTAATTAAAAAAAACTTCTAAT